GGTGCGCGCCGGGGGGGGGGATCGGGGAAGCCGCCGACGGGAGGAGGAGGAGACAAACTTGAGAAAGAAAGGGCTAAGGGGCAGGGGTCTTTCACCTTTAGAACAGGAAGCTTGTCAGATCTGGGAGGAAAACAATATTAAAAGAATCCAGAATTTCTTTTTCTCATAATCAACTACTGCTTTCCTATGTTAATGGGGGGGAGGGGGAAGGTTGGAGATGTCTGGTTGTTTGCAGGAATCCCCTATAGCGTTTCATCTGCACTGTGTCCTTCAGGACAGGTCCAAACTAGACAGTACTTACAGGAAGGAAAGCCTTTGTAAGAGCATTGCATGCTTCCTCAACCACAAAAGACAATGCTTTCCCATTGATCTTTTAAAAAAGGGAAATGCACCCACCAACTGTGTGATTTTGCATTGGATGGCTCATGTATTCTTTCCCCATAGAGGAGTCACAATCAAATTCTTTTTTTTTTTTTCAAGGCAAACTCAGAGGAAGTTGGGTGGTCTGAATGACTACCACCATCAAAGCAGGGCAGTTTGTCATAGTTGTCTTTAATCTACGGGGATACCTTTAAAGAAGCCCCAGTACACTGGTGGCTGTGCAAAAGTACAGCCCTCACCACTAAGAGGGTAAGAGAATAATTTTGGAGTCAAATGTAAGTGGCTGTGTCCTAGGAATACAGATTCATGTTACCCAAATTCCATGTTCTGATGTGGTAAAGGTTTCATGGAGTTTTGTAGTAACAGAATAAACAGGAACAAAAGCTGTTTCCAACACAGTGACAGAAACAGATAGGTGGGCACAGAAAAGCAGGGAGTGTCAGCTGCAGGCCTGAGATGGTGTCTGATGACAATCTTAGCTTTGGGTGGTGGAAGCCAGGGGTCTGTTTGCACAATCCAAAGGATTTACCTCATAGTCATGTGTGTTAGGTCACACATGGAAGGAGAATGATACATGTCTATTAATAGGATTAAAGATGGCCCAAGATAAGTTACCTCTTGTCCTGCAGCATTGCAGACTTGCCCATCATTAAAGTCCTAAACAGCTAATCGGCCTTCCTGAAGGTTCAGTAAAGGTGACGTTCATTCAGGGAACTTTGTTTCATGCTCGTCAGAAACTTTCCACTGAGCATAAATTACTGGCCAGCTCCTTCCACCTAGGATCCATAATGCTATCTTCTTTCTGCTATTTTCCTTTATATGTGTAAATAGTTTGAATATGTTTTTTCCTTCTTATATTCAGACAAGTCTAGATTTCTGGTCATATAATAGACACTGGGTAACTCTCAGTATGAATTACCAAACTGAGTATTGGGCTAGAAACAAGAGATAGATAGATAGATAGATAGATAGATAGATAGATAGATAGATAGTCACAATAAGCACATGACAAATGTAATTGAGTAGGCACACACCCTGTTATACATGTGTATACTCACACAAATTGAGATACTCATACACATATCTACATATGTACACACAAATATTTAAGTAATTTCATTGGAAGATGCTGCCTGTTTTTATGTTTGAATTGGGAGTCATTTGCTGCCATGGAATGTCTGAAATAGACATCTTCCATTACACATCTGGCTTGAGCGTTGTGTTTTTGGAAGGTAGTTCTTGTCCTCGGAGGTATCTTGTATACCAGATGTGAAGAGGCAAGCTGGGGGCCAGGGTGATGAGATGACCACGCTTAGTCCAGAATGCAGGTGCTAAAGTGGAAGCCTGACTCCATCACATCTTCACTGCAAGATTTTAAGAAGCCTTTTAACTTCTTTAAAACTTTAATATTGTTTCCTTAACAATATTCTGAAAATGATGAATTTTTTGATAATCTTATTGTGAAAACTAAATGAGATAAAGGCACAGTGAGTCCCTAGCATGTTGAGAACACTTAAAAACGATTAGTGTTTAGTTGTTAGAGATCCCCGAGTGAGTGAATGGGTGTGTGACTGCCTAGGAGACACATCCACATTTGCTTTCCAATGTTATCTTCTTATATAATTTCTTCAAATGGCTAAGAAAATGTAAAATAACACACCAATAGCTATTGCTTATTTGTTCTCCTTCCTTTATTCCTTCTTTTTATTTGCTTGTATGAAGGGTTAGTGAAAAAGCTTACTATGTACATAGTTATTTGTTAGCACTTTTTATTGTTTCATTTAATTCATTATTGAAGGAATCATCAAAAGAAAAAAGATGAAAGGGAAAAAAAAGAGGAAAAAACCCATAAGGATTTCTAAGTTAAATATAGAACTAGTAAATGCCAGAGTGTTGTAAACAAGTCAAAAGAAAAATCATGTCATAGCAGCCTGTGTAGTTTTGCCTTAAATTTATTGAACTGTAAATTCTCTGGCCTGTCACTCAGAAGTAGGTCTCTTAAAAAATTCATGTAGCTGTCATTCTAGAAAATATTCTAGCCTGCTGTCTGTCTGTCTATCTATATCTGTCTGTCTGTCTGTCTATCTATCTGTCAGTCATCTATCTATATTAGAAAAATAAGTTGCTTTATCTTCATGTTTAACTTTTTACCTAAAAGTTTGAAATTTTTTCCTCTTCAATAAATTGTTGTAGTTTGGTACCTAACTTTTCTGGTAGCAATAATAAGGATATATGAGAAAAAATTAATATTCTTTTGGGGAGGAGTTGGGAGGGGTGTGTGTGTACTATGTGTATAGAGGTCAGGGTCAATTTGTGTGAGCTGGTTCTGTCCTTCACACCATGTGGGTTCAGGGATTGAACTCAGGTCATCACGCTTGGCTAAGCCATCTCAGCAGACCAGTACATCTTTTTTTAAAACAGGAAGTACAAATCATAACAAGCCTTGATGCAAGAAACATCTCTCAAAGAGGAGAAGAGATATGTCATTCTGGAGCAACATATAAAGTGACTAAGTCCTAGGGACATAGGTTTTTTTTTTTCCCCATCAAATTCCATGTTCCAACATGACAGTAGTTTCAAGAAGTTTTCATGATATTGGAACAAAGAAAGTCATAAGTCAGCATATTTTTAATATACAGTGGAGGAAATATCAGAGTTATGATAAAGTGGGGAAATCTCTGTTAAAGGCCCTCAATGTTATCTTAGTTTTGGGGTTGGTAGGAGTTAGGGGTCTGTTTGTACATTCCAGAGGATTTATCTAATAATAACACAGTTATTAGGTCACACACGCAGATGGACAATAAATAGCTCTTAATTAGGCTCTGGACTTGCAGCATCCCAGCCTCTCCACATCACTGATGTTCTAATTAGTTTACCAGCCTCTGTAGTTACATCTTCTCTCCAGGAACTGTTGTTCACATAGGGAAAGAAGGAAGAAAGGAATTAGTGAGAAGAAACGAGTTGTCTCTGAAAGAAAGGAAAACAGTTCAAAAGATAGGACAGGAAGAGCCTCCAATACTGTGGAAGGGTTACCTCTGTGGCTTCCTTAGAATTCTTGTTCTGTTGTTATAGCCATGGCGAGCGGGAGGAAGTGCCAGGAGGTTTTGATAGAATCCATGCTTTTCTAGACTTCTCCTCTTGGCCTAATGCTGTCTATAGACCGACCCAAAGCTCCTTTCTTGTGCTTTCTTAGCTGGACCTAATCTGTTCTCCTGTCATCTGTAGTGGGATAGACGTTCACTATGCAGTCACCTTCAATGGTGAGGCCATCAGCAATACTACCTGGGACCTCATAAGCCTTCACTCCAATAAGGTGGAAAACCATGGCCTTGTAGAGCTGGATGACAAACCCACTGCTGTTTATACAATCAGTAACTTCAGAGATGATATCGCTGAGACACTGCGCCAGAACTTTTTGATGGGAAATTCCTCTTTGAATCCAGACCCCAAGTCTCTCCAGCTTATCAATGGTGAGTCGAGTACCACTCATGACATCCTTATGGAGTTTTCCTTTCTTTTTGATATATTATTTCGACAATAACGTCTCTAAATGTATATGGTTCTACACTTTCTTAGACTATACAAGGCAAGACCCATCTTGATAAACAGAGCTCAACCCTACAGTCTTTTGGAATAGGCTAATCATGGACATCCTGGAAAGTGTCTCCACAGAAGGTCACAGAGAAGGAAAAGTGGAGAACAGCATGGCAGTTAGAAACAGTTTCAAGGGATGGGAATAAAGTGTAAGAAAAAGGAATGTAGAGCCCCAAAATATGAATTAAAACAGGCCTTGGTGCTGCAAGTGTGAGCTGAGGGAAAGGTCAGTTGATTAAGGCTTACAAGTCAGCAGAGGAAGAGGAGGAAAGCCAATGGAAGCTTGCTGAAAGAGCCAGATGCTGAGCCCAGAAACCTCAGCACTAAGTTTGACCTTTGATAGTTGTGGAGATCCCATCATGGGTCATAATGAGCAGAGGGAGCTGGGACCATAAAGGAGAAGGAGACCACTGGGGGTTTGGAAGCTAGAATGGTCTTCCAGTCATCCTGGTGCAAAGCTTGCTTTCTGTACTACCACAGCATCGTTCATCAGAGACAAAGAGTTCTAACTTATTTCCCGTTATTGCTTGTTTTCTGTTTGCTTTGCCATGATGCCTTCACTTTATCCTCTGGAAACTTCCAGCCTAATGTATTTTACTAAAGTGAGAAAACAGGAAAAATATAAGTTGCTAAAGTGGGAAATGAGGAACATATTTACAACAATGGCTTAAAATTGTTTATTTGAGACATGAATAATAAATGACTCAGTGACAGATATTGGGGCTCAAGCTGAAGATCAGAAAAACAAAGCAGCCAGCCACTGCCTCAGACCAAAATGGATGATCCTGCCTCCACGAATCCCTAGAGGCAATATGCAGACTGCACTGCTCTTCACCAAGCCTCAAATGGCAATCCCCTGAGTTCCTGTCTCCTCCTGTTTTATATTCCTCTCTCTGCCCAGCCATATCACTCCTGTCTCCACCTCCCTAGTGCTGGGATTAAAGGCGTGTGATCCCAAGTGCTGAGATCACCTTTGTGTGAGCTGTTTCTCTTTTAAACTGGATCAGTTTCATGTAGCTCAGTGTGGCCTTGAGCTATCAGAGATCTGTCTGCCTCTGTCTCCTGAGTTCTGGGATTAAAGGTGTGTACCACTACTGCCTGACTCAATGGCTGTGGCTAGCTTTGCATTTTCATCTCCAGTGAATTTATTAAATCATAAATATTATAGCACCACATTTATTTATTATTTATTTGGCTGTGTGCATGCCACTGTGTATATGTGGGGTTCAGAGGACAATATGTGGGAGTCTGTTCTTTCCTTATACCATTTGGATCCGGGGTTAAACTAGGGTTGTCTGGCTTGGTAGCAGGTACCCTTTCCACTAAACTATCTTGCTGGCCCTAAAGATTCATTTTGGAGGAAGAGGGTAGGATACAATAAATGTAACACTCTAAGAATGATTTATGAATTATGCATCCCTGAGACCCAGGACATGTTCTGCAACACTCCAGAATGTTTAGGGATAGAAAATTGGAAGTGGCTTATAAGAGACAGGACCAAGGTACAGAGAGGGATCAGTTGTTTAAAACTTAGCTTTTGCCTTGTTTAAGCATGGTCTCGTGGATACTCAGCTTCATGATTGGCTCTTGTGTTACAGATTTCTAAGTTTGGTTTGCATTTTGTTTATTCACTAATTCAATCAGGTTCCAGCTCAGGGTTGGAAGGATCGAGTTTTGTGAGCACAACAGCTTTCTTACACTGCGTTAACAGCCTCTTCCTGTAGGTAGGGGTGTATGTGTGGGGTGTGTGTGTGTGTGTGTGTGTGTGTGTGTGTGTGTGTGTGTGCGCGCGCGTGCGTGCGCACGTGCGCTGGTATATGCAGATCTCAAATACAACAGTGTTTCAAAAATGATGTTTTACATCGTCTTTCCTCAGTGAAAGGAGTTTTGCTCCCCCAAACAGAAGACATAGTTTGGAACGCCCAAAGTTCAAGTCCTCAAGTGACAACACCCTCCACTCTGGTAAGCCATCGTGCCTCACCCCAGACCTAGCCCTGAAACTTCTTTCCTTTGCAACCTCTGCAGTTTACCTTGGCACTGAGATTTACCTCCCATTTCAAGCATCTTTTGCATGTTCCCAGATCGTCACTCACAGTGGTCAGCTCAGGGGGAACCAAGTGTTGGTTCAGAAAACTTAAGCCTTCCCCAGTGGTTAAATGAACTTTTAATTGCCAATCACCACAAAGGGAAAACAGCATTTGTTACTCATACTTGTTTGAGGTTAGTTAAGCTGTAAATGCCCACCACGTTGTTTTTAAGTTGCCTAGAAATAGTATTTTTTTTTTTTTAAATAGTCAAGGCAACACATTGATGTTCATAACCACAGTAGACATTCTTTATTTCAAAGATTATATATTGTGGGAAGTTGGCAGTAGAATAGTGTATGGACGGGGAAAAGTGAAGATACTGACTAGCTGAAAGATAAGAGGCATCCTAAAATTAGTCCTTCATTTAAACGAATTTCATTGTTTATCATTATTTTCTGTATGTGTACTCATATATGTGTGAGGGATGCACACAAGGTGTGGAGCTCAGCAGACAACTCTGGGAGGCTGTTTTTCTCCTTCTATGTTTTGGTGGAGCCAGGCCCTTGGACTCAGGCTGCAGGCTTGTGCAACAAGCATCTTTACCCCAAGAGCTTTCGCACCTGCTCACAATCCTTCTTTTAAACTGGAAAGAAGCATTTCCATCTGCGCATAAGCAGAATGGAACGAATCTTCCCTTTTGTTCTTGCCAGCCTCTTCCCCAACTACATCTTTATTTTCCATTTCACTTATAGGGAGATACTGGAGAGAAAAGAAAATACTTCCTCAAGTGTGGTTAAAGCAGCAGGGTTGACACTACCAATGACCCCTTGTGTGGGGATGGTTCAGTGATCTCTTGTTAGCACAGGGGTATGCGGCAGAGTGGGGGTGGCGTAGGGAGAACTCTTCACATCCAGCATTCACAGATCACATTCTTGCTTTCTTAAAATGTCTTTTTTTTTGTTTAATACCAGCTGTTTGAAATAGTTGTTTCTTGATATTAGAACTCTAGTGGAAAATATGAAAAAAATTGAAATTAAATTTATATCATTTCCCCTTTCCACTCCTCCCTTAAAACCCTCCCATGCAATAACTTTGCTGTCTTCAAATTCACGGACTCTTTTTCTTTAATTGTTGTTGCATGCACACGACACACACACACACACACACACACACACACACGCTTCTAAATACACAGATACAACTTGTTCAGTCTATATAATGTAACGTGTATGTATATGTTTTCAGGACAACTCTAAAAATTTAGAAAGCAGATTTACTTGACCAGTCATCTATATAGCCATCTGCTTTACTTAGCAGCTTAATTTTGAGTGTGGAGCCATTGGAAATACCCTTTTCTCTGAGTGCTGTATTAAAGAAAGAATGCATTGGGGATAGAGACATCAGGTGGCACATTAATTAGGTGTTTACTTACTTATCCATTCAAATACACTTATTTTGTGCTTTGTATGTGCCAGGTACCAGGGAAACTAAGCTGAATAAGGTGTGGTTCCCTCCTCGGGAAGTTCACAGACCGGTAGTAGACAGATTTCTAAACAAATAAGATGACATAGTGTTACGGGCGGTCACCAGAGATGACCACTCAGACACAGGGTAGAGCCAATTAAAAATCTTTATTCCAGCCAGCTGGGACCATACCCAAGTGTTTGGGGACCTAGGTGTGGCCCTGAGTGTTCAGAACATCCAGTTTTTAAAGGCAGAGACCCGGCACAGGCATCTCGCTCGGCAGCTGCAGGGGGGCATTACAGAGTAAGCAGTTGGAAGCAAGCAGTTTTAGTAGAATCTAAGTTAAGGGGTTAGCCCAGCGGGAGGGAGGTTCTGTACAAACAAGCAGTTTTAACAAAGGCTAACACAAGTTAGCTAGGATATCCTGACCATTGATTCTTAGGATAGAGTTGGGTAGTTTTCCATGGGATTCTCCATCAAGGAGATCAGATTCTAGTGAAACCTGGAAATGGCTTCAGGGAGAATACAAGATGGAGGAACCCCTGCCCTATCTTGCCTCATCACAATAGCTGCTCTCCTCAAGTCCATCCAGAGTGTAGAGGTGAGGTTACCCTCAGCCCCGCTTCTAATCACACCATCCCAGAGCTTCTCTAACCACGGGCGAGCTGTGATGGTATTTTAAAAACATGATGTAAAGGTCTGGAGATGACCATAAAGGTCAGTCTATAAAGCGCCTGCCACTCAAACATGAAAAACTTTGGTCATATTACTAACGTCCACATAAAACTGGGTGTGGCAGTGCTCATCTGCAATACCAGTGCTGGAACAGGGGTGCAGCACGGCCCCCAGAGCTGGCTGGTCTAGACAATTGGTGAGTGCTCCGGGTTCAATGAGAAACCCTGCTCTAGAACTACGGTAGAAAGTGATAGAGGAATATACCCAGCATCAACTTCTAGCCTCCCTATTTCACATACTCTACAGACTATCTTCCATGTGTTCACTGTGACACACACACACACACACACACACACACACACACACACACACACTGAAAAGACAAGATTTTCTTTATCAGCCAGAGGTTGCCAGCTGGGACTATTTAGCTGGATTCAGAAAGGGACATGTATTTTGAAACTATTTTTAAAAAGCTAGTATCTAAAGCCGGGCATTGGTGGTGTAAACCTTTAATCCCAGCACTCAGGAGGCAGAGGCAGGGGGATCTCTGTGAGTTCAAGGCCAGCCTGATCTCCAGAACGAGTGCCAGGATAGGCTCCAAAAAAAAAAAAAAAAAAAAAAAAAAAAAAAAAAAAAAAAATCCCCAAAAAACAAAAACAAAAACAAAAAAGCTAGTATCTAAATATTAGATTTTTTTACATAAAAATGCAGATTTTCATCTTATTTTGAGAATTAGGACTGTCTGATACAATGAAGTCTGCATTCTCTTCTGGCCATAAAGTGGCCAGAGTGTTGCTGTGGCTGTCAGTCAAGGATGGCAAACACTGACTTTAGCCAAATCTCTTTATGAGAAGTGGCAACTGCAGGAAATTAAATAACCATTTAAGGAGTCTAGATTATGTAAAAACAATTTATTAATACATAATAGTCATGTATATTTGTGGAGTACAATGTGAGTTTTTGCTAAAATGCAACATGATCAAATAAGGACAACTGGTCACTCATGACTAAATAGTTATTATATGTGTTGGCAATAGTAGACTTTAGCTGTTTTGAAATGGGCCACAGGCTGTTGTTAACTATAGGCTCTCTACTATGCTACAGAATACTAGATCTTTTTCCTTGTAACTGAATTTTGTGCCATGAACAAAATTCTCTTTATCCCTGCTTCCCCAACCTTTCCTAGCCTCTAGTGCTACTATTATATTCATCACATCTATAAAATCCAGTAGACTTTTTTAGCTTCTATTATTAAGGAGACCATGAGAGATTTAGACATTTCAATGTTGATGAGTGGCAATAAGACATAAAAATGATTGATTTCAAGTGTACGGTTATTACTTGCTTCCTTCCTTTCTGTAACTTTTTACTTTATTAGAAAAGTAGCATCTGTTAACCAAATTGAACGTTTTAGACTTCCTTTAGAGGTGGGAAGGTTGAATTTGGAAGCTTTTGGCTTCCCAGTTATGAAAAATCACTGTTTTTTCACTATGCTTCCTTTAGAACTAGAAAACTTTTCACATGGAAATTAGAACCAGTGAAATTTGCTAATATAACATTAAACACTGGATTACAAAGAATTTGTGAGTTGAATTTGTTACTAGAAGCCTCTATTGATAGAAAAATAAATTGCCTATCTAAGTTCTAGTGGGAGACACAACAGTACTGGGAAACCTAGAGCTGTGGCTTCAAGTTCTGATGATATTTCTTTTCTTTTTCTTTTTTTTTGTGTGATTGTTTTGGCCATTTCACTCCCATGAACATCTTCTCTTTACCTGTAATACACATGGCGTGATTGGATTCCGTGATTCTCTGCAGTCTTCCTAGGTTTAAAATTGGATGCATTCATATGTTAACATACATGTGTATACTCCACTCTCCTCCCTTTCCTGGCCTCTGTGGGTACCAGGCATGCATGCAGTGCACTTACATATATTCACGCACAGCATCCATACACATAAACTAAAAATAAAGAAATCTTAAAAGGGGAATATTATATACCATGCTAGTGTCCAGCAAGGATTAAAATATAGAAACTCCCACCAAATACCATGACTCTTCTATCTATTGGCATCATCATTTAATTTCTTTTACATACAGTAGTTTTCATAAGATTAAATAATTAGTACATTCAAGGGGTGTATTTATGTCTACTTTCTATTTCTGAAACCAAATGTTGAAGTAAGATTATCACTATACTAATATAAAGTTAGGAGAAAGAGAAAAATGTATTTTGAGGCATGCAGCAATTTCATCGGTATGTGTTTTTATTTGAAACAACCAGCCCACATTGCTATCTGGTGACATTTTTCATAAAAAATAAAGGCTCCTAATTAAACATCTTTCAAAATGATGGGTAAAATTGTTAATTATTCTTTCGTGCTGTAGATAGTATGCTTAGGTATTTGTCAAAAAGTTGCATATATTGCTAACCTCTATGTATTTAAAGTCATTTAAGCCAAAAAGATAGAAGGAAACACCCAAAGCCAGGTACCAAATACCAAAACAGTTTATAGTCTTTTGAATATGGTATTTCACCCAGCCCTTTTGCAGGTGAATTTTAAGAGGTTACCTGGGTTTTTGTAGATTTTTCAGACTAGTAACTAGCAGAACTGGGTTTTGATTCAAGACTGTTTCCTTCAAGGGCTGTTGTGTTTCTCCCATCCAGCATTTCATGTCTACATGTTTCTTTTCTCTATGATATGATTTAGCCTTTTTCTCCCTCCCCAGGATAATACCCTTCAAGCTGAATGGCTCTCAGCAGATGAATTCACCACCACCAATATTACACCACTTGATTTCAGCTCTGGTCCTCCCTCAGCCACTGGCAGGGAACTCCGGTCAGAAAGTGCTTTGGGTGATTTAGGGTCTACACCTAAATTAGCCTCTCCCTCGAAGGTGGTCCTCAGTTCTTCCCTGGAGGTTTTAGAGGGTAGCAGCTTGACTCTTCATTCTGTTACCCCAGCAGTGCTTCAGATTGGCTTGCCTGTGGCTTCTGAGGGAAGGACTTCTGGATCTTCCGTATTAGAAGATGGTGAGAAACCTTAATCGCTTTTCATAACTTTACCGAATTGGAGGGCAAGAGCTTCGAAGAGTTTATCATGAAGAGGAAAACATGGTAGCATTCACTAGGGAGCAAATGTCTTGGGAAATGTGTACGAGAGAAGAAAAAAAAATCAGATTTGAGAATTAGTCAGATTGGAAAGTAAAAATTATTGTATCTTAAGAAATGGACTGGGGTGGAGATCAACTAAAAGATATTTTGAAGGTCATATATTTTGAAGGGTATAAAGTAAATCAGTATAATTACTACTAACAGTGAACTTTACCTGCTTGAATGTAGTGAACGGCATCAAAGAAGATTATTCTAGTATGTCCTAATAAGATTATAGGGGAAACTCTAAGGATTTTAGGTTATAGTAGTATTGAGAAGAGGAGATTATAAATAGAGGTGGAAATAAAATAGTTTATCCTCTAGATCAATGGTTTTTCAACCTGCAGGTTGTGAGAATGATCCTTCCACAGGGGTCACCTAAGAACATCAGAAAACTTAGATATTTACATACAATTCATAACAGTAGGAAAATTACAGTTATGAATTGTCAGTGAAAATAATTTTATGGATGGGGTCACCATAACAAGAGGAACTGTATTAAAGGGTTGAAGCATTAGGAAGGTTGAGAACAATTGCTCTAAATGTTGTGGGACGCACTGCATGTGTGAAAGAGAAGATGAATAAAGATGTCAAGAATGGGTCTAGAATTTTGAACATGAGGGAAATATGAAGGATGAGGACAATAAACATAGAAGAGAAAGGGAAATATAACTTCCAGAAAAAATTCTCCATAAGTTTCCAGTGGATTCAATCTATGTTTCTTAATATGGTTAATATGGTTAATTCTTTATTTTCATTGGAAAAAATGCAAGAGCATGAGAATCATTTCAATATTTAAGTCTTTACCTCAGAGAAGTGGATTGTGCTTATGAATGCTTGTCCTATTCTATGAATTTATGATCATATCTTCCTGTAATGTAGATATCAAGTCAAGTGCTTGAGGATTATTCCAATAATTAAGACTTCACCTCTGAGAAGTGGATTTTGTTCACGAATGCTTGTCCCACACTATGAATGTATGATCACATCTTCCTGTAGTGTAGATATTAAGGTCAGCCACTGTCCCTGGTAACTGGAGAAAGTAGCTAGTTTTATTGGAGAACTATGGTTTCATTTTGTAGATTAACTAATGGAAAGCACTGTGCTTTTTTAGGGCTAGCCAATAGTGAAGAACCAGAAGATGCTTCTATGGATGTATTGCCTTCAAGCTCATTAGTTCAACCTGTGCCAAAAGAAACAGTACCACCCATCGAAGACTCTGGCATGACTCTCTTGACATCCTCACCACATCTGACCTCTTCTGTCATAGAAGACCTTGCTACAGACATAGCTACACCTTCTGGCTTGGACTCCTTGGCTTCCAAAGTCACAGACCGGTTGGATGTGAGCCCATGGTTTCCAGACACCCCCGAAGAAAAAGAGTTCACTTTTGAAAGTGGTTTGGGTTCTGGGTCTGGGAAAAATGATGATCTGACTGCTTGGCCATGGAGTGAGACTTCATTAGAGAAGACCACTGAAACATTGTCAAAGTCATGGCCTGAAGATGAGTATGCACTCTTGCCAACTGAGACTATAGAAAAATTACATATAGATGGCAGAGTAGATTCCACAGGACAAATTATTGATCCTTCAGAACATAGACAGAGTGATACATCCATAAATTTTGCAGAGGAAGAATCCCTTGGCGGGTCTACTATGCCCATCTTTGTAGAATCTGCAACTCAGTCCACATCTCTATTTCTTTCCAAGCATACAGTTACCAAAGCACCCTTTTTACTGGCAGCTATAGCAACCTCTGCTTCTACTGAGGAAACAGATGAAGTGACTACCCTGATAAAGGAAGTACAAACAGAGTCATCCAGTCACAAAGGGCTTCACAGTGAGATTTCTGTGAAGCCAGATATGCAGCCTGTGTGGACCACATTGCCAGAATCAGATATAGTTTGGGCAGGAACTTCTTCCTTAGGGAAATTGTCCAGGGACACACTGGCAAGTACACCAGCGAGCACTGACAGCCTGTGGTTGAAAGCTTCTGTGACACAGTCCACTGAATTGCCTCCAACAACCAGCTCCACCCAGCTGGAAGATGAAGTAATCGTGGGCGTACAGGATATTTCATTAGAACTAGATCGGGTAGGCACAGATTACTATCAGCCTGAGCTAGCACAAGAACAAAATGGCAAGGTTGGTAGCTATGTGGAAATGGCTACAAATGTTCACCACACAGAGATGCCTGTGGTGGCTCAGCCCACCAAAGGAGATGACATGATTCACACCCAGACCGAAGGAACATTGGTGGTTTTCTTTAGCCTCCGAGTGACAAACATGATGTTTTCAGAAGACTTGTTTAATAAAAACTCTTTGGAATATAAAGCCCTGGAACAAAGGTTCTTAGAATTGGTAAGCACAGATTGTAAAACATGAGCATTAGTAAATATTATGTGAATCCCTCCCCACCCTCAGCACGTTAAGTCAGAGTCCAGAGGGGTGGTTTTCCATGCCCATTGATGCCTGTCATCAGGTGGCATCATGGCTTTGGGATGACAGGAGAAAAATTAGGCAGGCGAATTCAAGAATTAGAAACATAAACATGGCATCAGGATGATGTGACAGGTTAGATGCTGAAGATTATGTGGCAGGAAATAAAATATGAAAGGAAATTTCAAACCCATCGTGAGGCCCATCTTTTGTGGATGCTCATATCTTCATTGCTGAGGACCTTCAGTGAAACGGAGTGAATAAATTCTAGGCATCTAAAATGGTTTATGAGTTTCATAACATTTCTAAATGACATCATGACAATCTCATGATATTCATAATTTATGCAATCAAACCATCCCTATTTATTGACTTTTAAGTTGGTGTATAAACAAGGTTTTCATTATGGCATTTTATACAAACATATCATTGTGCTTTGTTCACATTCTACCCTGATTTGCATGCCCCTGTCCATCACCACCTTCCCAAATAGGCCTCTTTATTTTCTCCTGCAGAGACAGAAGGTTTTGCATTTTGTTGAATACATACTAAAGAGGAAAAAAGAAAAACCTCACAGGAACATTCTTTTTGATTGCTTTTGTGTGTTTATTGTCTTTCTGGCATGTATTCAACAAAACGTTAAGTGTTGGCAGTAAACATAACCGTTTTGTCATTTGCAGCTGGTCCCCTATCTTCAGTCGAATTTGTCAGGGTTCCGGAACTTAGAAATCCTGAACTTCAGAAATGGCAGCATTGTAGTGAACAGCCGAGTGAACTTTGCCGAGGCTGTCCCTCCAGATGTCAACAATGCAATGTATCTGATTCTGGAAGACTTTTGTACTACTGCCTACCAAACCATGAACTTGGATATTGATAAGTACTCCCTGGATGTGGAATCAGGTAACCATAGTGTCTATCATTTAAAGTTTCTTAGTAGAATCCAGTCACTATTCTTATGTGTTTTCTTTTTCATTGATTCTTGTATAGAGAAAAAGTTGTGTGTTACACACAGTCCCACATCTTGAAAATTAGCAAAATGAGTGCTTCAAGGGAATCTCAAATATTGAGGAGACAATGGCACCTTTGTTGTTTACCTCCCATTCCGTTTTCTACACATTCTTCCAGGTCTCTTTCACTTATCCATTGGACCTGCTTTTGCTTTGTCTTATGTTGCCATGGCCCTAAACGTGTCCTTTCTTCTTCCAAATAGATGATATATATTTTAAGTTTCTATATTGATTCCTTTTAAGTTTTATGCAAATATCTCTGCAGTTTTGGTTGTGGTACTCTTTGTTGAACTTGGGCCTTCCCACATGCTAGACAAACCACCACTGAGCTGTATTCTCAACCACCTGTTTTACTTTTGAGACAGGTTCACCCAAGTTGTACAAGCAGATCTCACATTTGCAGCTCCTTCCCTGTCTCATCCTTCCAAGCAGCTGGGATTACAGACCTGAGCCTCACACCACTGCCTTGTTTCACTCTCCATGTTTCTCTGTATTGACCAAGCATCTCTCAGAAGTATTATTTAGTTGCTTGACAATCCCTGCTTGAGTGTATTTGAAATATTCTATGTGCACTAAATTGAAAGTATTCTGAGTGAACTCTTATTTTGTGTATCTTTCTACTCATCATTTAATCTATGCTTCTCCATCTCAACCAGAAACCTTAAGCCAGAAACCTAGGAAAATCAGGTCACTGTTGATTTTGTAGTTCCCATCACCCCTATTTCAACTGTTCACCAAACTTATATTAATAATGAGTTATAAAATATCCCAAATACAGGCTCTTATCTCTATTGCCATGGTTACTAGTCTATCCAAATGAATACCATGTCTCAAATGGACCACCGCTTCTACTTCTGTAGCTCCTCTATCTGCCTCTTCTCCAGACAGCATCCCTAACACTCTTTGTAAAGCAAAGATGTGTTTTAGATGATCTTACATGGCTGCTTTATGTATATCAATGGCTGCCTGGTTCACAGCCATATAGCTGGGTCTCCTTCTTCTTTCTCAGTATTGCCCAGTGAATCTAAGCTTTTGGCGTACCGTATTCCAGTCAAATTGTGTGTTTCAGTTCTTCAGATACTCAGATCTTTCTGAGGCCTTAAAGATTTTGCATATTACTAACCTTTGCCAAAAAATTTCCCCTTACCAGTTCGTTTAGGCTTAGGTTCAAGTGTTGCTTCCAGTGATCTCCATACCCTACACTGGAGCTGTCCCGATATGTTAATATTTCTGTAACATTATGTTTCTTTTGTCTGTAGAGCATAGCAGAGTGTCACCTTGTGTGGGCAGTCCTTAAGAACCATTTGCCAGCCAACTTTCCACGAGGATGTGGGTCTGTTGTAGTAAGCACTTAGTGGGAGCATAGCACAGCACTCTAAGTACCCAAGAGAGTATTCAGAAACACTGTGCACACACAAAAGGAACCACCGTTTTGTTTGGAAGAACTTGATGCAGGGAATACCACTGGAACCTGAAATTTTATTTTATTTTTTTCCTTCCACATTCTAGGAGATGGTGTTTTTGTGTAGGAGTCACGTGGAATGTCTAGAGTCATATTTCAATAGTCCTTTTATTCCCAAACTGGTTTGCAAATGAGACCTGTTAAGGACTATTATTCATTCTAAGTGAGGAAAATGATTTAGCTAATCTCCCAATATTCAAATCTCTTGTCACGTGAGCTCTCTGAGGCTGCTTGCACAGTCTTTGCTGTGTGGTGTGTGGGAGAAGCAGTTATAATTTTGAAGGCAAGAATTTTTGCCTCCACTCTATCATTTATCATTTGCATGACTTTAGACAAGCCATTTGATCTCTAAGTTGCTCATATATTATTATATGGGCATTCTGCTATGTGGTTTATATATTTAATAAAGTGAGTCTCAGAACTAAACAAATATGTGAAAGTATTTGACTAGCTCTATGAATATGGGCAGTTACGACTAATTGTTGTTATGGTATTGGCACTCCCTTTCTACTTTCAAAGTTCTGGGGCTCAAACCTGGGCCTGAAACGTGTCAGGTAGGTAGGTGTTCAGCCACTGAACTATATTTAGCTCCTAGTCAACTTCTTTTTAAAAAGGATTGCAATAGAGAAGCACATTGCCTCACAGTATCTACTCTATAGAAAAGAGATTCTATTCTCCTCTTCCTCCTAAAGTAGCCACAAAATTTAAAATTTTCAGATAGAATTTCTCTACTACATGTATATTTTAAAATATTAATGTTGTTTTATGTTAGCATTGGCTAAGGTAAGTATAACTTGTATTTCACCTAACTTTTTCATACTCAGTGTCTCCAAAATTTTTGCTTTTATTAATAAAGGAATTCTATGCAATATCCATTGTATCTGTTCCTATTTATAATTATGGGCCAAAATCAGATTGTTTTATGATTACAAAGTCACAAAGTAATTACTTAAATGTGAAGCAAGTACCTAGGGAACACACAGTGGTATCCTGCTGTGTAGTCTCCTATAGAAACTGCCTGTGCAGCTTAGGTAAGGTTTTCTGCATATCATCTTTAAGCTCCAGAACAGTGAAAAACATTTGCCAATTAAAAAATATTAATTTCTCTAGGAACAAAGATTGATCCTCTCTAGCTAAACTTCATACTTCCCTATTTAGATGTCTGTGATCATTTCCAGCTATTAGCTCTATATTCAATATCTGTGCTGTTGTTTCCCCATTTCCGTTCACCCATTGCTATATGGAAGGACATATGGTGGGACCCATCGATAGTTCATATCTTACATCACTTTTGACTGGTCATTGTCCCATTTTTTTTGTCCTTTTCTCTTACCCCATCAGTGAAACAGTAAGTTTCTGAAGACAAAATATTGTTCAGAATGGCCAGAGGAGGCACAGGGATGATTTTCTTTTGTGTCAGTAGTTTCTGCAAATCTAGACCATTCCCAATGCTACTCTAGGATATCCCCACCCATGAGGATGTCTCCATTTTTTTGTAGGCTCTCTTCTCATCCCATGGTCTCAGCCTGGGGCAGGCACACAACACCGTGTGTAGAGTAGAGGTGATGGTGTATTTTTATGGTGCAGGTTGTGGATTTTCCCATGGCACTTTGAGGGAGGAACTTTCTTCACGTATCTCAGTTCCTGGACTTTGAATTTCCTTGTATCCTCTGGTTTGTTTGATGCTTTAGGTGATGATGCCAACCCTTGCAAGTTTCAGGCCTGTAATGAATTTTCTGAATGTTTGGTAAATCCATGGAGTGGAGAAGCAAAGTGCAAATGCTACCCTGGGTACCTGAGTGTGGATGAACTGCCTTGTCAAAGTCTTTGTGATCTACAGCCTGACTTCTGCTTGAACGATGGAAAGTGTGACATTATGCCTGGGCATGGGGCCATTTGTAGGTATGTTGCAATTAGAGATTTTGGCTCTAAAGATTACATATACTTCCGAAGAAAGTAGGTTGACAGTATAATTGTAGGGCAATTACAATAATGTTTATTATGTCTGGCAATTAGATGGATACTGTCTGATTCTTATGTGAAGACTGGGTCACTCAATAGGCCTGAATCACATACCCACTAGGCTTATTTTAGGCTGCTAGGAAGTTGTAAACTTTTTTTCTGAATGTGTCAGACTGGGAGTACTTGGATTAGCTGGAGATCTTTGTATGCTAGTTTTAATGGGGATGACGAGATCATCACTATTCACATAAGATTTGTATGTAAGATCAGCATTTTACACGCAAAAGTACATAGAGAGGGGGCTATATTATTCTGATTGGATTTTATTCTTTTAAGATTTATTTTATTTTATGTGTATGAGTGTTTCCCTGCATTTAAATATTCATCTTATACATGTCTGGTGCCCACAAAAGTCAGAAGGTCCCCTGAAACTAGAGCTACTGATGGTTGTGAACTGACATGTGGATTCTAGGAACCAAATACTGGTCCCCCACAAGAGCACTAAGTATTCTTAACTGCTCATGAGCCATCTTTCCAGTCCCTTGGTTTTGTTTCGGTTTTTCCAGAGCTGAGGACCGAACCCAGGGCCTTGTACTTGCTAGGCAAGCACTCTGTCACTGAATGAAATCCCCAATTCCCATAGTCCCTTGGTTTTACTCTTTATGACTTTGTGCTCCTTGTAGCACATTGATTATTCAAGACTCAAGTAACACAAATAGTAAGGTTTTTCAAAGTGATGGCAAATGCATTTGCCTCTGAGTCTGAGATCTGTTTGTAAAGGCAGAACCATGGAGGGAACCGCAGACCCAAAAGTCATATAGACTGATGACCCTTTTCTGACCCCTGCCTTCAAAGAAACAAAAACAAACAAAGAATCCAAACACACTGACTTCCCAGCTACACATAACCACAGATACATGGCTGGAAGAGGAGGGGATGCCGGAATAATCAGGAGGAATGGAAATAAGATGTTAATGTGTGAATGTAAACACTGTCATGGCAGTGAAAATAGCTGGAGATGATTCAAATGCTTTTATGCAAAAAAAGTGTAAGGTTTAACTAGAAAACCCATGGCCATTAAAGTTTCCTGATAGAGAAATTAACATTATTCTGCAAAGCAATGATTTCCTTATTATTCTGGGACATTTTTGCACAAGTCTATTGACTCAAAACCTTGAGGATCTCTTTAGGGTGGTGAATGACATGTGTGGTGTTAAAAGCTATATTCTAGAAGCTGTTAGTATGTGTAACTGAGTGGCAGTTCCCTTCTCTTCCTGGGCATGTGTTTCTGTTATCTGTAGATGAGAAGGCTGATTGTAACATTTCTTTAAGCCTTTCATATTTTAACCAGACATTTAAAAACAGTTGTTTGAGATCTACTGGCCTATGTCAGGCATTGTGCACAGTCTTCGATCATATGCTCATTTAACTTGTATGTCAAGGTTTTCTTTCCCTGCTATGCTGGGAATGGAACCCAGGGTTTTATGTGTGCTAGGCAAGCACTCTACTACTGGGCTACAGCCCCAGCACTCCCTTCAAGTCCTTAGTGAAGATGTACATGATCAGAATTTATATATTCACCTTTCCATTCCGCGGAAGGTTCTGTTGCCTGTCATTTTGAGCAAAGTCATTTAGATCTTGAGGTTGGTGACTATTTTCACAGATGCCGGGTTGGTTCGAACTGGTGGTATCGAGGCCAACACTGTGAGGAGTTTGTGTCTGAGCCCTTTGTCATAGGCATCACCATAGCCTCTGTGGTTAGCCTTCTCCTTGTTGCTTCTGCTGTCATCTTCTTCCTTGTGAAGACACTTCAAGCTCAGAGTACCAGAAGAGAAAGACAGAGGCCCATCAGGTAAATAAGGAAAAAAAAAAAAAAAAGCTGGGTGGGGGCAGAGAGCTGTGAAATTGAATGAAAGCATTTTCAAACTGGTGCCAGGTCTGAAGAAATCCAGGCAGTCTATGAATGAGATGTTAAGAGGCCTGGAGAGGATTGAACTGGAGAGTCTTGAGAGTTCAGGGATCGTTGTGACAGTGGGAGAGAAGAAAGTCCTTTTGCAGGAGATGGGTGGGTCTCTGTATTTTTTTTTTTTGAATTAGAAACAAGGTTGTTTTACATGACAATACCAGTTCCCTTCTCCCTCCTGTCCTCCCCTACCACTCCCCCCCCAACTAAAACCCTACCTATCACATATCTTTACTGCTCCCCCTGGATGGTGAGGCCTTCCATAGGGGGGGGGTCATCAAAGTCTATCCAATCCTTTGGGATTGGCCCACCCGGGTGTGTCTTGGCTCAGGGAGTAGCCTTCTATGTGGAATGGGCTTGGGTGGGTCTCTTTGTAATTAGTGAGTAGACACGAGCCAGGTGAAGGAGGCCCACGTGAATGTCTTGGTGCACTGCTGGAATCCACAAGAGTTACTTTAGGTTAGTCTCCTCCACCTGCTCCCTAGCTAAGGAGACACCCCTTCTGGGGTCTTTCCTAGAGCATCAAGACACACTTTTGTCATTTTTAAGCTTTGTGTCGACTACGTTTTCAACAGACTGTGAGCTTATCTGGGGCAGAGGCCAACAGATTCTTCGACTCATCAGCATTTAGACAGGTCATGGCACAGAATCACTGCTCAGCAAATGGACCTGAATTGAATTCAGTTGAGGCTCAGGGCTTTTGGTCCTCCGGTATTTGAATTTTTTTTGTGAGATTTTTCTATGAGGTTACATACGATTATTTCATAGATGTTGCTCTGGAAATAATGAAGCTGTGTTTATTTAATGAAGTTCTATTCACCAGCAGTCATAGTTCCCAACCAACACTTATTGAGTGTTAGGTACTGTGGGAAAATGTGATGAATGGGACAGGATGCACTAATGACACCTGAGACTAATGTAGACATTTCTCATAGTTCCCCTGACTCCACATCTATGCCTACTTCCTTTTCCCCAACAGAAACCCTGTCCCAGAAAAATAGCCTTTCCCATAGTTGAGCATCCAGAGGAGCTCCTTAATCAATCATGCATTTCTTCCCGTGGCTCCAGCAGGCAGCCCGACAGCCTGTCATCTGTTGAGGATGCTGTGAAGTACAACCCTGCCTATGAAAGCCACTTGGCTAGATGTGAACAGTATGAGAAGCCCTATAGCCAGCATCCGTTCTATGGCTCTGCTAGTGACGAGGTGCTTGGTGGTCTGAGCAGAGAAGAAATCAGACAGATGTATGAGAGCAGTGACCTTTCCAAAGAGGTAGGAGACTTCCATTCTCATTGCTGCATTGCTGGTCCATGTGAGCATGTGTGTGGGCATGTGTGCATATGCATGGGCCTCAAGAGATGATGAAGAATCTTTAGGTTAGTTATTACCTGATGATATTGCTCAGAGTATGCCTACCCGGTGACTTATTTTTCCATAACTAGAAAATTCTCTGTCCTTTTTTTCATTCCTGTCTTAGGAATATATGTTAGAGTTAGAGCGGTTTACACAGTATCTATGCAGAAATAGCTTTCTTTTCTTTTTTGGTGGTGTTGGGACTTGAACCCAAGGCCTTGTGCATGCTAAGCAAGTGCTGTACCACTAAGCTACATGTCCAGTCTTAGTTCATGTAGTGTCTAGAACACTATAGGTGGAGCCTTCTCTTTTTTGAAAGCAGGGGTTTCTTTCTTCAATTCTTTCTTGGATAGCCCAGAAGCTAACAATTCCTTACAATAATTAGACACCCTTTAAAAGCCTGCTGGGGTTTTTCTAATGCATATTTTCCAATATATAGCCTCTTTTTCTTCTTTGTTCAAGGAAATTCAAGAGCGAATGAGGATTTTGGAACTGTATGCTAACGACCCTGAGTTTGCAGCCTTTGTGCGAGAACATCAAATGTAAGCATTGCAGCAGCCCCACCAGGCTGGGCCTTAGTGACCTTCCTTAAACTAAGGCTGCCAGCAGAAGCAAGTAATTACCACCCATGTGTCAGGGGTCTTGTTAATGACTAACCTTTATTAAACTCTTCAGAGTTTATGCTAATTCTTCAGAGTCCACAGCGATTATCTCATTTAAGTCTTCCAACGGCTCCATAAGAGAGATGCATCTTATGTGGAAAAAAAGGGAACCTCGGAGAGATGATTTTTACTTAAGAGATGATATTGACAGTAAGAAGCAGAGAAGATTAAAAATCAACTCACATTGACGTTGGCCTAGGGCCTTGAGCTACGTTATCATTTTTCTCTTGCTACTGTAGATGTCACCAGTAATCTGATGCTATAAAATGTCTTTCATGGGTGATTTCCATGGGGTGTCCAAATATCTCCCATACTTGAACACACTCTTCCATTTGTACCTTTAGAGACACTTTCAGTAGGCTTTGGACCACGTTTTATTAAAGCATGTCCCTTGCTTTTACTAGGCTTCGCTCTGTCTCTTTCCACTTGTTTTAATCATACACCTTGGGCAAGTATCTGTGATTCTCTATTTTAATTTTGTTCTCCAGGATTTGCAATCAGACATAAATTACAAAGATAAACTAGCCTGTAAAGAGAGCCCATGGGCAGTAGCTGACTGTGGTGTGTGACACAGCAATTTGATGTTGGTATTGGTTCCTTCTGGTTCCTCGTGGATGGGGTCCAAGCCAGAGCAATTCATATGTTTTTGTAAAAAATTAGGGTCAGAGGTCTTAAGCGGAACTCTTGATATACAGCTTCTTCACTCAGAACCCCTTCATGAATGATAGGACACATTGCCACCAAAGAAACTGACTAAGATGATTTTTTTTCAAGACTAGTTTTCTCTATGTAGCTTTGTAGATCAGGCTGGTCTCGAACTCACAGAGATCTGCCCGCCTCTGCCTCCCGAGTGCTGGGGTTAAAGGTGTGTGCCACCACCGCCAGCGAGTAAGATGATTTTTAAATGGCAATGCTTCTGAAAACCTCTCTGAGGTCTTGACAACCTTGCTTAATGCTGTCCCACCAACAATAGCAGTGCTTGCCTTTTAAATCAGGCCACCATTCATTTCTGCAGCACCAGCCAAAACAAGGCTCATCAATCTGTTTTAGTAGTAGCCAGAGGAAAGGATATGAATGTGTTGCATTATTTCCCAAGGCCCTCTCTAAGTACTTCAGAGATACTGGCCTGAGTATCCTGAATGAAAAAGGTGGGATATATACCTGTAATCTCAGCACTCGGAAGGTTGAGGCAAGATGTTGGCAGGTTGAGGCCAGCCTGGGCTTCCTGGTGGAGCACTATCAAAACAATGAACAACTAAGTAAATAAAATGTATCAGATATAGGTTAAGAGAGTGAAAGAAAGGATTCATCTTAATTAAAGACTATGACTACATGCTTTTGTTTCTTCTGGTGGGATGTACAGCATTAAAATATATGTTAAAAAAACCCTATGAAACAAAGAGTTAATGAGACTATCCTCTGAAACTAAGGACAGTGGATCCAGACCCTATAGCCTTAAGAGCGATGCTGCACAGGGGAGGAAGGCCACACCCACCTCTGAGGGATTAAGGCAGTTAAGGGTTGCCTTGGGAGGGGTGTCACTTATTTCCATGATCTAACCACTGAAGAGTCGCTCACATTCCAGTAAATAACCTTCCACTCATGCTCTTGCAAGCAGCTGTAACTCAACTCAGTGTTGTACACGTAAATAGAAAGAAGGATGAAAATGGGAGGGACACTGTTGGGAAGAAGGGGTTTGGTGGGCGGGGACAAGAGAGAGTAGTTTGTGTGTGTGCATGTGTGTGTGAGAATATTATCAAAGCACATTATATTTTGTGTGAAATTGTCAAAGATTAAAAAAATAAAGAAAAAAGGAAAAACCAGGTTTGCTCACAGGGAACAGTCAGGCACGTGCTCCAAACAGCATTTCCAGTCTCCACTTTTCTAGCTACCAAATGGCCCCACAATATGTTAATGGGTTTAATTTAGGATTCAGTAAAAACATGTGGTATTTGTAGAGATTTAAAAAAAAAATAGCAGAGGGCAATTGTGTGTGCACGTGGCACACACACATACACACAAGCCTTTAGGAAAACATAGGAAGCATGGGTGATTTTAGTCATGTAGCTTGGTGATACACTACAGTAAAAATGAATTTCAGTACATTACTGCTTTTCAAATAAACTGCTTTTTATCTTCTCATCGCAGGGAGGAGCTTTAACCTAAATGCCTATTTCTTGACACCAATTAGAAGCTTGGAGGAGATGGAAAAGGCTTGTCAATCTCTGCTATGTCATTAACTTGGAGTTTGAACACTGGTGGAAGAAGAGTTTTTACTGAAGAATAAATAAATAAATGTCGGACATACTTCTCATCCCCACTGCAGCTTAAGATTTTTGGAATGTAGCAAAAATTGTGACAAATTTTGTTTCTATGAAGATCAAGAGATATGGCTAAAGAAATTTAAAGGGTGTGAATTCTGATTTTGGTTACTTCTTTGTGTAATGCTTGTTGTCTAGATGAAATCCCACCCACACAAGCTGGACAAAGTTTTTGTTGCAATTAAGATATTCTTAAAATTGTCTAGGTTGGAAAAATCCATACTGTATAAATTAAAAATGGAAGTTTTTCTCTTTTCACCTATGGTTATTTTGAATGGATAGTTTGGGGAAGGTAAAGGCAAAATAATCATGACGATTACTGTAAAGGTATACAGTAAAAGATTATCCTTAGTTTTAGCGGTTTAAGAAAGATACCTTCATGTTTGCTAAAACTATCTTAAAGTTCATTATTTATTTTGGACCAGGTATACAACGGCCACAAGATAAAATACATGGTTCATTTATTTTTTTCTTAAATTGGTGACTTTAAGTTTCTCTAGTTAGATCAGCAAAAACTGGAATAGGAAGACCAGACAACTTAGAATAAGAGAACAGTGATTTAGAAGACTAATTTACCTTCATTAAGTTGAGAGGTTGTAGCCAAGAAAAATATGGGTCAGTTTTTTTCCCCCTAAAATGTTTCCTATGATTCCCAGTAGAAATAGGTGGGGCCAGCCTTCATTAATAACCCAGCTGCAGTGAGTCAGGATTCTAGCTCATTCTATTCCCAAGTGTGCAGTCACTGCAGAAAAAATGATGTAAAGGTTACAATCCTTAAGTTGAGAGCATTGTGTCCCACAAAGTATCCTGCCCGGAGGTGGGAAGATGGAAGGGTATTATCACGTAGTTGATGATATAAAATATTTGCCTGGAAATTTATTTGACTCATGCATTTTGTAATATGTAGACTGTTCTTATAAGTCAATAAGAGACAAGAAAAGTCACCCCCATGATAGTAAGCCCCTGGCTAAAACACTTCTCCTAACTACATAGTTACTGCTACAGCCTAGGCCAAATGATTATGAATCCTGATTTTTTCCCTCGTATTTGATTAATTAAAGGCATAGTTGGGGAAAATCATGGTTTATGAGACTACAGGTATAACTATGTGTCAGGACTACTTGATGATTCCTAAATAGTAATGTGTATATCCTAATATATAAATAATATTGAGTGTGGTTAATGGCATACTGTTCTTTTTCATTTTATTTATGACAGTTTATCCAACATGTGATCTTTTGCTATACTACTTTCCCGAATGTTTATAGTCTTAATATTAGCAAATTAGAAATAAATTTTAAGTCTTTAGGCATGTATAAGGATCCTTTGATTCTCCTGTATATAACTGTGGTGTATCAATTAGTAATAAACATGTCTTTCAAGAACCTGCCTTTCATTTGTCAATTAGAAAAACAGTGGTATCACTTAGCAAAAACTGAATTGTAAGCCCCATGCAAAGAACCTATTATATCAGTGCCTTGAGGAGAAGAAAATGACTCTTTGATCTTAAGGATGTGAGATTAGGAGAATCAGACATGAATTTGGAGCCTAGCTGCTGTCTGAATTTTGTTGATTGTTAATGACACTGAATCATGACTTGGCTTCCCTTGAACTTTACTCTTTTAAACACTTTCAATTTTTCCTCATATGCTTAACTCACCAAGACTGATGAGTGATTAAAGAAAGATTAGGTGGGCTGGCAGGTCTTTTGAGGAGAGGAACAGTGACCTGTCTAAAGAGAACTAAGGAGACATGGCCACATGGGAGAGGTAGGGTGAGAATCAGCTAACAGTTATCTGAGCAGTTAATTTCTAATGTGCTGGCAACCAGAAACCTCAGCTTTTGGGCTTTTCATCTTTTGTGTTTGCATTATATCTTGCTGGCATGAGGAGAGGAGAAAATTCTAAATGAATGTTAGTAAAAGGGAGGGAAGGTGGTTTTGATTAGAGTTCAGAAACCATGTTGAGAAAACACAAGATGAGAGAAATAGGCCCAAGAAACATCTGTTGATTGATTAACTTGTGACCCAATTTTAGGATAGTGAGTAATAGCCTGTCTGTAAGCCCTGATCAAGGCCTGGAAAAGCCCGCCACTCTGAACTCACACCTCACCAACCTGGCCTACTTTCTGGGCTTTATGAACTCGTTTTCCATCCAAGCTAGTTCTTGATGGACTGGGCCCATAAAATAACATTGAACTTGTAACCAAAACCTCACATCTTGCATCATGTCCACTCCATTTCTTATTAGAATGAGTGACTCTATGTTAATATAAAAATAGATATTTAGGAATCAGTCTTTTACAAGTAATACCAAATTGTGTGTTGGTTTCTGGAAACATTTTCATTATACTGAAAGAGTAATTCTTTGTCAATATGGTACTTCATCTTGGCAGATTTGGTCAAGAGCATGTAATTTTGACACATAGACAATTTTAATGACCCACCAACAAGCCCCAAATTTTTTTCATACCTTTCTGTGCTATTATAAACTTTATGTTTTAAGACTCAACCAAGACTGTGTTGTGACCTTTTAACTTACACCATTGCATCCCACTAAACAGT